AAAAAAAAAACGGTAACCTGGTTGCCGAGTTCACGAAGTGAATTGGCTTGTTTTACAACGTCGTTGCCAAGCGACGAAACCCCAACCCCGATAGCAAACACCGGGGGGGACTTTTGAGGGGGGGTGGCTTTTGGGGGCAGGAGGTGCACGCGTGTGTTTGCTTGTGCTTCTGTTTTAAAGGATTCGCGACTCTTCGCATCCCAATCAAGACGAATTTCTGCACGAGTCACGCTTTCCAGTGAAAAACACGATGGGTCTTAATTGTTGGTTGTGTTGTGGGCGTTTCTACAGCTGTTCTTCAGCCAGTGCACCACTGGTGTAGTGGTCAAGTACAATGTCCGGTCCAGCATTGCGGTGGGTGTGCATTTTTGTTTTTTTTGTCTTCCATCATTGGACTCTGTCGTCTCCCCCTCTGGCCCATATCCTCCACTTATTTCTACCAGCTAGACGACCCAACCGGGGTCACATAGGAGGGGGGGGTTGGACCCCTTCCTGCGTTTCGTTGTGCTTGCGTGAATAATCGAGCGACGGCCTACCTCTGTATCATCGTACAACCCCGCTCGCTCGCTGCCTGTAATGATGATCCTCGTGAACAAACACCTACTTGCGTTGGGCTCTCCAAAGGCTGGAGGAGGCGTGGAGGGCGTGGAAGCTTGCCTCCGAGACACAGCCAGGTGAGGCGACAGAGACAACCAATTTCAGGATGAAAACAGAAAGAGACACGGTTTAGATGCTGTGGAGTTTCTGTTTTCGCGGCTGACCTTTTTTGAAGAGTTTCGATGGTCGTTTGCAGAGTCACAGTAGTACTGTGCTAGACATAGTGTTTCTCTTTCCCTGGTCCTTGTCCACTCCTCCCCCTCGCATAAAGTCACGGCCACAATAATTGAGAATATGGCGCAACGTCGTAAGAGAGAGGGCGGTGCATCAAACAGATAGAAACGTAAAAAGACGCTCGGGACTAATTTCGAAAAGCTGAACACATCGTCGCTCCTCGTCTGAAGGGGCGTGTGGTCAAAGGTCCGATGAATCCCAGGGAAGTCAACAAGTAAAAAAACCCCACCTTTCCCGCCTGCTTGTACTCAGGCAACCAAGAGTTCCCCCTTCGGTACGCGGCCTGCCTCAGCAGCGCCGGACACGTCGAGAGGGCTCACAGCGAGCTCAACAGAGCTGTTAGGGCACTCAACCATGCCTGGTTTCATGACGAACGGGGTTCAGTCGTGCCCAGATTACCTCGCCCGCGGAGGGGAGCTGACGGTGGGTTCTATAGAGTCGCTTGCGCGAGGGGATGAGGGGGCGTGTGTACTCATAGTCGTGCATGCCGTAGCCGTTGGACCATTGACCTCGTATGTATGCCTACAAAGCCGGGGCGGAGCACGCTGAGTTCTCACCGGACCAAGCTCTCACATCACCAAGCGCGAAGCGCCGTGAGGTATTCGGCGAGTCGTATGAAGGGTGCGCAGCATCCTGCTGAGGGTATTCGGCACCTTGTGCTTACTCCCTGGCGTACGGATGACAGCTGCGAATCACTTCTTTATAATTCGGGTGACGTCACTTCCAGAGACAGTAACAGAGACAGATATGGTCACTGTCTAGCTGCCTTGAGAGTGCTTGCCCAATTCAACACAACATGGTTCAATCATCCCCTTTGCGCGGGGCGAGGGTTCTCGACCCCGCACAACATGCCTTGCTCGCTGTGTCGGCTACCACCAGCATTATGTGACACGAGAAAATTCCGTTGTCAATTCACGGTCGGAGGTAAACACCGCTGAATCCCCGTCGTGTACATGACTATAGGCAAGCAAGAGAGCCCCCCTTTCCTTTTCCTCGGGGCGACGCACCCACACAAACACTACAGGCCAACCCCCTCCCTTGGTGGTGGCGTTCTACTGCTTCGAGTACGGCAACGCCTGGTTTCCCAACTGGGGCCCTTCAAGTCTCGGGCAGGGGTTAGGGGGTTCCGAGGAGGTGGTAATCCACCTGTCGAGGGAGCTGGCAAAGATCGGGTTCTGGGTGGAAGTCTACGCGGACCCTATCGGGAACGATGTCGGGAGAGATCGCGGGTTTGAAGGGGCGGAGGACGGTGGCGCGGGGGGGGTGGTTTGGTACCCGTACAAGGCGTACGATGTGTCTCGCCCCCCGGACGTGTTCGTCGCGTGGAGGTAAGTTGGAGTCGAGATTAGCTGAACTCCAACGAAGCCAGGACCGGGCAGAGAGATGGCATGGATTTGCTTCCCCTAGACAACGAGAGCCAATGGTCCATGCCGATTCATGGTCATGGTCATATACTGTGAACACGCAGGAGGAGATTTTTCCTCTTGCTTTGTGTCTACGAACAAAATTTTGGGATAAGCTCACGCGAAGATAGCAAGTTGAAGATACGCCAACAAGGGGTATCCGGCCCTATAACCGTGCACCGGGACAGTGTGCCCCAAGTTTATTGGGCGGATCTTTGCTTTCGATCATGCCTTCCATGCTCTCTTCATCTTTATTGTTGACGGAAAGTTTTAGCCCCTATGCTCTCTTCATCTTTATTCAACTGATTGCGCAGTCTAAGAGACTTTCAGACCCTTGTCTGATAAACGCGACAGCACTAGTGTTCAACGATGGTCAACCCATTGAATCCATGCATGGGATCAAGATTGCAGCGGGTCGGGCAACCTTCATTTGTCTCACACGTCACAAACTCGTAACACGACAGGTATCAAGTGAGCCTACACCTTGCGGAGGGCAGTGGCCGCCGGTTCCTCTGGCTGCAGGTGAGCTGAAAGCCAAACCGCAAGCTACACAAATAAATGAAAGCTTCTTCTTCATGCCTTCAATGTATCTGGTGTCTGGGTGAGGGGAGGAATCAAACTTGTGGCAGCTATCCAACGTACGGTTGTTACGAAGCAAACTGAGTCAAAGCGCAGCGGAGAGAACGCGATGGCGAGCAATTAAGCACACCAACCCGTATGCACCGTGCGGATCTTCGGCGCTGCAAAATGTCTGGTTTGACTCGAAAGGCCTGGCCTTAATTATCGTTTGGTTGTCCCTTTACTATCTCTCTATTTCTGTCGCTTGGTTCCGCGCCGTCCCTTCGATTGGGTTTTATACGATGTATACCCTGCTCTTAAGTAAAAAACGCGAGACAAAACACTGGATCACGTGCTTCTGTCTGGAAACCCCCGGGCAGGCCCCAGTATGTAGACGGTCTCGTTGCATTCCCTTGTGAAGAAATTCACTTCCACCGACGCTACATTTTCCAAAGATACCCCCGAGTTCCTGCATCAATTTCCCTCTGGTCGCAGCCCAAGTTCATTTGCTCTGGTACTGGCCTTACTGTAGTTCAACCTGTATCCGGCGCGCGTCAGGAATGCCCCAAACCATCAGCTATGTAGAGCCGGCTTTCGAACGAGGTCCATAGGGTGGAAATGTTGCCGACGGCGGGTTCCAAGTTTAACCGGCGCCAAACGGTAACTAACGTGGTGAAGCAAGACACTTCGCTCAAGAAGAACTTGTTAACCGCGCTCACGCCACAAAACTGGTGAATCAGATCTAATGTTTCTGATCGCGACGCTGGAGATGAGCGTTTTAAGGAGATTATCGCAAGAAACGATAGTAGAGTAAAGCAACCATTGTTGACTATGACACCCGCCACGCAGGATGTACTGGAAGATCCGTTATCCACGGGCTTCGCGGATAACCTGGACGGTGTTTTCTGCCCCAGCCTGTACCACGTCAGCGTGATCCAGCCGGAAGCTTTGCGGTCTCTTGGTCGCGTGGTAAGACCAGACGTTTGGCTTGCAGTTGGTGCCTGTCTCCGCCTTTCGTATGTTGTTGCTTCCGCCTACCCGCTCTTCCACACCATATCAAGGAAAGAACACGTAGCACGTACGCAAAACCAATGCGACGCTGTAGGCCGTTGGGCTATGCCCGCGAGAGTTCAGATCTCTTCGTCGACGCCATTATGGAGCCCTCAACTCCGGGTGCGCTGAGAGTCCGGAGAGTGGTGGCTATGACCTGCCACTTGAGCCTGGATATTACCTTCGGTGCTATTTGGCGAGGAATTCCAAGTATGACCGAGCGAACTCAGTCAAGCTAGCAAGGTGCGGAGAGTGGGCGAGCCTTGGTGGACTCATTTTCCCGGCCTCCAAAATTCATCAACCATTCGCAGCTGTTGGGAATCGAAAGAGTAGGAAACCCTGGGGAAGAACCATGATCTATTTTCACAGATTCTTCCTCAGATCCTACTTGGTACGTGTGTCTGTACTTCCTGAATCTCCATATCCTGACCTCCACATATTGTGCCTCTTGTTTTTGTTGTCCAGACTTTGACGATCGATGCAACCAACCAATCATTTTACCGTCTCTTGCCTGTTGATCAGTTATACTGTCAACAGGCCCTGTTTCGCTTAGGATGGATGTATCGGTCCGCAGCCCCCCCCCTCTTCCCATTTCCCCATCTGTTGTACCCTCCACGCGTTTGTTTCGTTCTCTACTCATATCCCAGCGCCTCAGATCTGTCTTAAGACTTATGTTCCATCTCTTGTTCCAAGTGTTTTGCCCCCTCCCCTCTTTCGTCCCCCCCGGTGTTTACCATCGGGGTTGGGTTTTCGTCGCTTGGCAACGACGTTGTAAAACAAGCCGCCCCACCCGGTTTTGCCATCGGGATTGGGTTTTCGTCTCTTGGCAAAGACTTTGTAAAACAAGCCAATTCACTTCGTGAACTCGGCAACCAGGTTACCGTTTTTTTTTTTACCTCCGGTTTTTTTTTTTGGCGGTAACCATAATGGTGGTCGAGTAGATCATGTTGTGCGGGGTGGAGAACACTCGCTCCGCGCAACGGGGATGATCGCACCACGTTGTGTTAAAATGGTCAAGCACCCTCGAGGCATTTACACAGTGCTTACAACTGTCTCTGGAAGTGAAAGCACCAGAAAGTAAATTAATTCATACGCAGCTGTCATCCGTACGCAAGGAAGTAAGCATAAGATGCCGAACACCCTTAGCAGGATGCAGCTCACCCTTCATGCGACTCGCCGAATATCTCACGGCGCTTCGCGCTTGGTGATGTGAGAGCCTGGTCCGGTGAGAACCCGGCGTGCTCCGTCCCGGCTTTGTAGGGATGCGAGGTCAATGGTCTAACGACTACGGCATGCACGACTATGAGTACACCCCCCCCCCCCCGGTGTTTGCCTATCGGGATTGGGTTTTCGTCGCTTGGCAACGACGTTGTAAAACAAGCCAATTCACTTCGTGAACTCGGCAACCAGGTTACCGTTTTTTTTTTTTTCCTCCGTTTATTTTTTTTGGGCGGTAACCATAATGATGGTTGAGTAGATCATGTTGTGCGGGGTGAACCCTCACTCCGCGCAAGGGGGATGATCGCACCACGTTGTGTTAAAATGGTCAAGCACCCTCGAGGCAGTTACACAGTGCTTACAACTGTCTCTGGAAGTGAAAGCACCAGAAAATAAATTAATTCATACGCAGCTGTCATCCGTACGCAAGGAAGTAAGCACAAGATGCCGAAAACCCTTAGCAGGATGCAGCGCACCCTTCATGCGACTCGCCGAATATCTCACGGCGCTTCGCGCTTGGTGATGTGAGAGCCTGGTCCGGTGAGAACCCGGCGTGCTCCGTCCCGGCTTTGTAGGGATGCGAGGTCAATGGTCTAACGACGGCATGCACGACTATGAGTACCCCTCCCCCCTTTTTCTCTTTGGACAGCTGCCCAACGGGATCGATTCCAGCATCTTCTTAGACGGAGACAACAGCCCAGATCTCTTCGTGTACGGGAGTGCGCCGAACAGAGGCCTAAGCGGGGGTGAGAGGCCAGCTGCATGAGCGCGCAGAAAGCCTTGCTACAGGAACACTTTGCGCATCGTGCATCGTCGTCTTGAGCTGTCGATGCAGCATATCGCATCTTGGTCCTGCCCGCTCCATTTATCGGAAGTGCACGCAATATTTCTGGACATGTCGTTAATTTCGTGCACGAGCCTCATTCGGAGAAATAGGCCTGAGGCCACAATGATCCATGTGTCGTCCGTGGTCTTCACGATGCATGGAAGTGCAGAGCAAGAGTCCACAAAAATGGCGTGTGTTGCAAAGACAAGAACGAGAGTATCCTGAAGACAAACAACAACAACAACAACAACAACAACAACAACCTTGACAACTCGTACGCGTTGACTGAGAGAAACACATGCCAGACGCTAGCATTTTTCGCGCATATCTACCTCGCAACCGGTAACCACCCCATGCTCTTCTACACCGTACATATCATTCATCCTCAACGGTGCCCCGCAAATTTAAATTTCTTTCCCCTCCCCCTTTGCTCGAAGCCCTATGCGTATTGTTATCTCTCTTGCTTCTGCAGCAAGCCCCTTCTCCTTTCACGCTCCTTTTCACTTTCCTGCGTACGTCTCTCGCACCTTGTATTGTCCCTGCTCCTCTCTCCCCCGCACGATCGATGTCCTACGGCGGTTGTCGCATGCAGTGTTGTTGATGTGGCCCTACATCCGAAGCCAAATACCCACAGCAACCTTGGAGGTGAGAGGGAAAAACATCTTCTGATATGATACACTGAATGTTTTGTTCTGCGAGACAACTAGCAGTAAGCGTCATAGTAAAAGTTCAACACATGAAGTTGCTTCATGGGGGTGGAAACTTATGAGAATGCAGTGCGACGAAAACTTACGAGAATGCAGTGCGACGAAAACTTATGAGAATGCAGTGCGACGAAAACTTATGAGAATGCAGTGCGACGAAAACTTACGAGAATGCAGTGCGACGAAAACTTATGAGAATGCAGTGCGACGAAAACTTATGAAAATGCAGTGCGACGAAAACTTACGAGAATGCAGTGCGACGAAAACTTATGAGAATGCAGTGCGACGAAAACTTATGAGAATGCAGTGCGACGAAAACTTACGAGAATGCAGTGCGACGAAAACTTATGAGAATGCAGTGCGACGAAAACTTATGAGAATGCAGTGCGACGAAAACTTACGAGAATGCAGTGCGACGAAAACTTATGAGAATGCAGTGCGACGAAAACTTATGAGAATGCAGTGCGACGAAAACTTACGAGAATGCAGTGCGACGAAAACTTATGAGAATGCAGTGCGACGAAAACTTATGAGAATGCAGTGCGACGAAAACTTACGAGAATGCAGTGCGACGAAAACTTATGAGAATGCAGTGCGACGAAAACTTATGAAAATGCAGTGCGACGAAAACTTACGAGAATGCAGTGCGACGAAAACTTATGAGAATGCAGTGCGACGAAAACTTGTGAGAATGCAGTGCTGACGGGTTTGGAACACCATGGCGATTCGGGACAGGTATCCATCCACCACATGGACGTTTCGAGCATCAGAGGTCGCCCCCGGTGTCTGATGGAGTCTTGACATTCCGTGCTAGAACTCCCTTGAATAACAAGTGTGTGCATTGTAGCCACTTTTCGTATGGGCGGAACGTTCTGGGCCAAATAGACGGAGTTTATTGAACTTTGTTCTACACTTTTGGTAACAACGTGCTTCGGAGGTCTTTGGCCTAGTTTTCGTATCAGACAAGCCTCCGCTAGTTATTTAAGGGCACATATGCATATGTATGTGCGAACGGTTCATCGCTACAAGGTAAACCTCATGAAGAGAGTGGCAACAACACGTTATTTTTAGCGAGCCGCTTTGGGTAGAAATAATGCTATCACGACGCGGCTTCAGGCTTCACCAATTACTAAATGGACTGCACACACAGGCGCACTCGCTCTCTCTTGGTACTTCTATTGCCCAGGGTTTATGCGATCTACCCTTTGCTGGCGTTCCCGCCAACCTTGTTGCGCTTTAACGACACACGAAAGCTCCCATGTCTAACGGCAGATTGTGCATCTTGTTCTCTTGAAGCAAATTGAAATACTGAAACGGAGTCAAAAATCATTCAGGTATACTATGGCTTCAGCGACAACTTCATGGAGTGGGCAAAGACCAACGTGAATGGTGTTGATGAGTGGGTGGCGGGCATGAAGAGTCTTCTGGACCAAGAGGGTATCCTCTATAAGGGTGAGTGCATTTTCTTGTCGAAAGTAGAATAGAGGTCAAGATCGACGACGAGGCTTAGTATCCACGCACTTTTAAGCACGGTTGACGATGTGCGACGTGCGTCAACATCAAAATCGTGTGGTACCGAAATCGTTGCAACTAGCGTGAAAACGTCAAGAACATGAACCAATCAGTGTAGACCACGTGAGCTGTACGCAATTCCGATCGTTCGTTGAACGCGACAAGAAGGGACAAACAGGTTTGTTTCCGTAATAATAAGAGTACATGTGCTTTGTTCTCTTTCGTGGCATATCGCCCGCACTGGCCGATGGGCTGGCTGGCAGGAATGGTCGACCACCAAACGCTTCACGACGCGTACGCCCGGGCAGGATTCGTGCTCTACCCGACGTCCTTTCCAGGTGAGCTATGTCCCGTAGTTTGTTCGGGACGAAGAGATCCAGATACCAACCAAATTCATATTTATGGTTCAAACAAGTGCACGCCCACTCAAGCAAGGGAGTGTACGGTTCTCTCTGCGATTTTAAGCTCGGTGGCCAAGGCAATCAGCAAGTGAATGCCCCCCCCCCCCCCCCCCC